TTTAATTTATGGGATTTAAACTGTATGAAGTTTAACTAATTTAATAACTTATTAATGAACTTTTCAGTAATTAAAATGTCATTTAAATGCAAGTGCAATGATGTAAATAGTAATTCATTAATGTGTGGAAGTAACTTACCCAACACTAGCTGAAATGCCCTGTTTGGCTCTGATTTCAGTCTTCGTCAAGTTTTATTAATGGGATTTATACTGTATGAAGTAGAATTTTAAGTTGAGTCAAGTTATTTAATAACTTATTGACTTTTTAGACTCTTCAGTAATTAAAATGTCATTTAAATATCATTTAATACTGTATAAAGTAAAATTTTAAGTTCAGTTAAGTAATTAAATCTTTATTATTTACTTTTTAACAACAAAAATGTCATTTAAATACAATTTTAATAATGTAAAAAGCAATTAATTAATTTTTAAAAGTAACTTACCCAATGCTAAAGCTAAAATGTCCTGTTTGGCTCTGATTTCAGTCGACATCGAGTTTAATTTTTGGGATTTAAACTGTATAAAGTTTAACTTTAAGTCAAGTAATTTAATAACTTATTGATGAACTTTTCAGACTTTTCAGTAATTAGAATGTCATTTAAATGTCATTTAATACTGCATAAACTAAAATTTTAAGTTCAGTTAAGTAATTAAATCATTTATTGATTAACTTTTTAACAACAAAAATGTCATTTAAATACAATTTTAATAATGTAAAAAGCAATTAATTAATTTTTAAAAGTAACTTACCCAACGCTAAAGCTAAAATGTCCTGTTTGACTCTGATTTAAGCTGTCGTCGAGTTTAATTTATGGGATTTATACTGCATGATGTTGACTTAAGTTGAGTCAACTAATTTAATAACTTATTGATGAACTTTTCAGACTTTTCAGTAATTAAAATGTCATTTAAATACAATTTTAACGATGTAAATAGTGATTCATTATTCTTTGGAAGTAACTTACACAACAGTAAAACTAAAATGTCCTGTTTGGCTCTGATTTCAGTCGACATCGAGTTTAATTTTTGGGATTTAAACTGTATGAAGTTTAACTTTAAGTCAAGTAATTTAATAACTTATTGATGAACTTTTCAGACTTTTCAGTAATTAAAATGTCATTTAAATGTCATTTAATACTGCATAAAGTAAAATTTTAAGTTCAGTTAAGTAATTAAATCATTTATTGATTAACTTTTTAACAACAAAAATGTCATTTAAATACAATTTTAATAATGTAAATAGCAATTCATTAATTTTTAAAAGTAACTTACCCAACACTAAAGCTAAAATGTCCTGTTTGACTCTGATTTAAGCTGTCGTCGAGTTTAATGTATGGGATTTATACTGCATGATGTTGACTTAAGTTGAGTCAACTAATTTAATAACTTATTGATGAACTTTTCACACTTTCAAACTAAAATGTCCTGTTTGGCTCTGATTTCAGTCGACATCGAGTTTAATTTTTGGGATTTAAACTGTATGAAGTTTAACTTTAAGTCAAGTAATTTAATAACTTATTGATGAACTTTTCAGACTTTTCAATAATTAAAATGTCATTCAAATACAATTTTAACGGTGTAAATAGTGATTCATTGTTCTTTGGAAGTAACTTACCCAACACTAAAGCTAAAATGTCCTGTTTGGCTCTGATTTTAGTCGTCGCTGAGTTTGATTTATAGAATTTATACTGTATAAAGTTTAATTTTAAGTTGAGTCAACTAATTTAATAACTTATTGATGAACTTTTCACACTTTTCAGTAATTAAAATGTCATTTAAATACAATTGCAATGATGTAAATAATTCATTCATTTGTGGAAGTAACTTACCCAACACTGATCGATAATAACCACGAGCAAGATTGTATCATTTTGATTGTGTCGCTAGGCCTGTCATGATAAAGACTTTGTGTTGCATGATATATTGCCACAGAAATAGTTTTGATAAGCAATATTATTATAGTATTGAGATCATTTTAAGCTACTGATTATATAACTGCACAATAATAACTCTTCTTAATCATTCCTAATGTCATTTAGCTTGTATAATTTGATGTTAAAAAGGTAAATGTCCACTATTAAACGTCCTGTTAGGTAAATGTCCAATTATAAACTTTGACATCGTCATTTGTGAATTTGTAAATGTATATTGCAACGGCAAACATGATTGAGATCATCTCTAGGTATTGCACAATAAATCAACATATTGATTATTGTGAGAGGCCTATATTTTATTATGGATATCTGTATATTTTTGAGTTTACAGTGTGAGTTTGTGAACAATACTGTTTGTCTGAGTGCTGTATTGGTGAATGATGTCTTCCAGTAGGTTAATGGAGTGTGTCGTGTTCATTTGCATTCGTTTTCATCACATCCCAAAAAGTCACGAGAAGAAAAATAGGTGCGTTTGTTCAGACACTAGGTGATGATGATGATGATGATGATCAATCTTGTCTCGATAAAACACATCTTTCTTTCACTCTAAATGCCCGATGTTTCTCTGCCTATTATTCATCTGTTCAACACTTCTGTCTTTACCATGATGTCTGGAGATAAATCAACACATTTTGAAGGGGAGCCATTATGCAAAAATTACATGTACTAGGGGTTTAAACACAGTCGTGTGTCAGCAGTTTGTGAATATCTCCAGCCTCTAATGGGCAACATGAATTAATTTTACTTTTTATAATCAGGCTTGATATAAACAGTCTGTTGGAACGCTTTGATTGACATTCTCCCTTTGTACGTGTCATCAGAGGGGGAAAGCCCCGCCCACTAGTGCCTATCTCTCCCTCATTAGCATAAACAGCAGCCCTGAGTGAGAAGCAGTCGTCTGTCCATTAGCCATTAGAGTGTTTGAGCTGCTGAAGATTTTGTCAGCATAGACTAAGAGGATTATAGATGTGGAGTTTTAGATGAAGCACAAATGAACAGCGGGGTCGTCTTCTGAGATGCTTCTTTAAGGTCTGTAGCCAGGGGGGTTTGACAAAGATCCATAATTTCTCCCATACATGTGCCCATTTGTCTCATTTTAACTGGTATGCTTAATAAATTGTTAAAAAAATACCTACAAAAATAATCGGCTTATGTGTGTATTATATTCATTTATTTCCCTAGACTCTAGATGAGGCATGACTGGAGTTTAAGAAATAAAAATATAAATTTATATAATGTAAAGCATGTATTGTGAAATATAAAGTTAACTGTCTTCAGTTGCTTTATAGCATTTGACTATTAATACAATATTTTGTCAATATAATTAATTAATTTATATAAATTTTGTAGTTTTATTATATTATTCTATATATATTATAGTATATTTTATTTAAATTATATATATATATATATATATATATATATATATATATATATATATATATATATATATATATATATATATATATGTGTGCGTGCGTGCGTGTGTGTGTAGGAAATTATAATATTATAATTTAGGAAATGTATGTGTGTGTGTGTGTGTATATATATATATATATATATATATATATATATGTATATATGTTATATTAAAATTATATTTATATATTATATTATATTATAGTTCTTTTATATTGTGTTATATTTATATTATAATTTCCTATTTATATATCACATTACAGTTATATTATATTTATATTAAATTATACATTATTATTATTATTATATTATATTATATTAGTCTATGAGTAAATTGTATTATATTTATGTTATATTATATTATTATATTATATTATATAATATTATATTATATTATATTATATTATATTATATTATATTATATTATATTATATTATATCATATTATATTATATTATATTTATTTATTTATTTACTATGAGATTTTTCCAGACTCTAGATGAGGCATGACTGGAGTTTAAGAAATAAAAATATAAATTCAAATAATATAAAACATATATTGTGAAATATAAAGTTAACTGTCTTCAGTCGCTGTAATCAAAATAAATCCCCGTAAATATAACTGTATATTAATTAAATATACTAATGTATAAATTATGTGTATAGTGATATAATACAAAAATATAACTGCATTTAATTTACTATTAATTAAAATATATATTGTCAATATAATTGATGTATTTTTACTTTTGGAGTTTTATTATGTTTATTTATTTATTTAATATAATTCATGTATTTTTATTAATTTTGGAGTTTTATTATGTTTATTTATTTATTTATTTATTTATGATGAGATTTCTCCAGACTCTAGATGAGGCATTACTGGCGTCTAAAGAATAAAAATTTTAATTCATATAATACAAGTTGCTTTAGAATTATGTATATAATGATGTAATACAACAATATAACTGCAATTAATTCATATAATACAAAATATATATGATGAAATATAAAGTGAACTATCTTCAGTCGCTTTGTTGACCAAAATAAATCCCTGTATATATAATATAACTGTATATTACTTATTAAAATATACCTAATGTATTTATTCTGTATATTATTATACGACTGCATTTATTTTTTTTACTATTATTGATTTTGTCAATATAATTAATGCATTTTTATTTATTTTGTAGTTGTATTATATATATATATATATATATATATATATATATATATATATATATATATATATATATTTTTTTTTTTTTTTTTTAAATGAGATTTCTCTAGACGCTAGATGAGGCATGACTGGAGTTTAAAAAAATGAATGTATATGAAATATAATATATCTCCATTCACTTTGTTGACCAAAATAAATCCTAGTAAATATTTATCTATATATATATATATATATATATATATATATATATATATATATATATATATATATATATATAAAGCAATTATATACTTGCAAAAATAATAATAATTATATCAAAATACATTATGCAAATCACAGGAGTGGTTTAAAACTATAACAAACCGTTTCATTTAGGATCTAAAAAGTGATGTCTGAGCACTTGAACTCGGATGTTTCAGAGTGAACAGGTTGAAGTGAAGCTCGTATTTTGATTTGGTGTCTTACCTGAGCGGCCATGAATGAAAGATCCATGACGAAGAAGTGTGTTTAGTTCCTGCTGGAGTGTTTCTTCAGTTCCTCGTGAACATTAAAGAGCAGCGTGTCTGACGGAGACTCCAAACGTCCTCAGTCTTCATCCTTACAGATCCACATTTACACACAACACATCAGAGAGGAAACACTGAGGATGATGCGAGACTCTGAGAGACCGCGTTTCTCTCTCTCTCTCTTTCTCTCTCACTCTCTCTCGTTTTACCTCCACCTTTCATGTCGCGTCACATCACGCGTGATCACACTTATAATGCCTGAATGACTTCAGTTGGTAAATGTGTCAAGAAAATGTCCCAGTCATATTTCACTTCAGGATCAAAAGAAGAAGCTTATTTTACCCCCATTTGTTTTGGCAATTGTGGACGATGTTTGTTTAAATTATTTGTTTAAAAAAACTCAATGTATTAAGGTCTCATTCTAACTAGTTGAACGAAAAACAAACAAACCATCCAAAAAAAAAAAAACACAAAACAATGCATAAATCACTTAAAGATCAATTATTAATATTGTTTTTTTTTTCACTAGACTTGTTTTTTTTTGGCAATTGTTTTTAAAATTATGTTTTGTGCTGCATTTTGAATATAAGTAATAAAAAATCTAAATGTATTTATTTCTCAAGTTCTTATTAACCACACTGTTTCAATTTACTATGATCTTCTTTGTAAGTGTTGTGATGAGTCAGAAGGCATTGAATCCATTTGCAAGCTTTATTAAGAGCACACATACAAACAAACACAAAGGGGCAATCCAGGAGACAGAACGTGGGACAGGCAAAAGTTCAAAGGCAGGCAGATATCTTACTGGTCAGAATAACAGGCTGGAGATCAGGGGCAGGCAGATGTCTTTCGTAATCGTAGAACAAGCACAGGGTCAGAAACACAGATCAGTCCGAAGCAGGGAGTATGGAACGCTCAGAAATGACAGCCAGGCAAATCAAGACTTCGCAATGAACCGGAGCGTGAGTGTGGTATATATACACGAGAGCTGATGAGTTGCACCTGGACCGTAATCAGTGCCAGGTAGCAGGGCTTATGGGATTTTGAGTCCGTGAGTCGAATCAGAATTCTGGCGATGGTTCCCTCTGGTGGTGCACAAGAGGGTTGGCATCGCCCTCATTTACAACAGAACCCCCCTCCTGCGAGCGGCTCCTGAAGCGAGAAGGCACCTGACGCCGGGGTCTACCGCGCTGTCGGGGGGCTGGTTTCTCTGGGAACCTTTGATGAAACTCTTCCGTGAGAGTTGGGTCTAGAATATCTCTAGCATTCACCCAGGACCGTTCCTCTGGACCGTACCCTTCCCAGTCCACCAGATATTGGAGGGCGCCACCCCGACGTCGAGAGTCCAGCACTTCTCGAACGAGGTAAGCTTCCTCGCCCTCGATCATGACAGGTGGAGGGGTCCTGGTTTCTGATTCCTCCTCAACCGCCTCCTCTCGTGGACCACCAGCGGGTTTGAGTAATGACATGTGGAAAGTAGGAGAAATACGATAATGATTAGGCAAGGCTAAGCGAAAAGACACTGGAGTAATCTGGCGTACAATTTTGAATGGCCCTACATACCTGGGACTGAGTTTGCGGCAGGGCAATCTCAGACGAAGGTCTCGTGTCGACAACCACACCCACTGCCCCGGTTGATACGTGGGTCCCTGGCGTCGGTGACGGTTCGCCTGAATCTCTCTCCTCCTGACTGCCCTCATGAGATGTCTGTGAGCCTGGTTCCAGACATCCTCACTCCGCTGCAGCCAATCCGTGACAGCAGGTAACTCAGTGGGTTCTCCGGACCATGGAAACAGGGGTGGTTGGTAGCCAAGAATACATTTGAATGGCGTAATACCCGTGGCTGGCTTTATTAATGAATTTTGTGCATATTCTGCCCACATCAGATAGCGACTCCAGTCGTGCTGTTGCTGATGACAGTAGGAACGTAGAAATCGAATGACTTCTTGATTCATACGTTCAGTTTGGCCGTTGGATTGAGGATGGTACCCTGAGGTGAGACTAACATTAATATTTAGATTTTTACAGAGAGCGGACCATACCCGGGAAGTGAATTGGGATCCCCTGTCTGAGACGATATCATCAGGTAAGCCAAACATTCGAAATACATGATTGCACAGGGCTTCTGCGGTTTCAAAGGCAGAGGGCAATTTGGGCAACGGTATTAGGCGACAAGCCTTGGAGAAACGATCAACCACCGTGAGAATGACTGTGTTGTTCTGGGAAACAGGGAGATCCGTAATGAAGTCCACCGCTATATGGGACCAGGGCCGTTGCGGAACCGGTAGCGGTTGTAACAGGCCAGCAGGGGTTTGGTGAGATGCCTTCGTGCTTTGGCAAATTTTACATTTCTGAACATAATTAATTACATCTTTCGTGAGGGACGGCCACCAGAAACGGGCTTTGACTAACTCCAAAGTTGCAGTGATGCCTGGATGCCCCGAACTGGGAGTGTCATGAATATGGGTCAGTAATCTGGTACGTATGTTATTGGGTACAAAAATCAGGTGATTCGGACAGTCTACTGGAGGGTTGTTTTCTCGGTTGGCCTCTTGGATCTCGGTAATTATGTCCCACTGTACTGGAGCCACTAGTAAGTTCGTAGGAATAATGGTTTCATCACTAATTGGGGTTTTATCCTCTGATAGCCTGGATAGTGCATCTGCCTTACTGTTTTTACTCCCTGGTCTATAGGTGACAATGAAGTCGAATCTGGTGAAGAACAAAGCCCAACGAGCTTGTCTGGGATTTAGACGTTTGGCTGAGCGAAGATATTCCAGATTCTTGTGGTCAGTTAATATGGTGAATTGCTGACTAGCCCCCTCCAGCCAGTGTCTCCATTCTTCCAGGGCTAATTTCATTGCCAGTAATTCGCGATTTCCCACATCATAGTTTCGTTCTGCGCTGGTCAATTTACGGGAGAAGAAGGCACATGGATACATTTTGGATGGTTGACCCTGACGTTGAGATAACACAGCACCGACTCCTGTGTTGGATGCATCCACTTCCACAATGAAAGGTAGGTCTGGGTTGGGATGACGGAGAATAGGAGCTGTGGTGAATTGAGTCTTCAGATCGCTAAATGCTTGGCGTGCTTCAGAGGACCAGGATAGTTTGTGGGAATTTCGTTTGGTCATGGCTGTTAATGGTGCGGCTATTGAACTAAAGCCTCTGATAAACCGTCTATAGAAGTTGGCAAAACCTAGAAATCGCTGCAACTCCTTGAGATTCTGGGGTAACGGCCATCGTTGAACTGCCTGTACCTTCGTATCATCCATGGTAATCCCTTCTGCACTGATGACGTATCCCAAAAAGGCGATCTGTGTCTGGTGAAATTCACACTTCTCTAATTTGGCGTACAGACGATGTTGAATCATGCGTTGCAACACCATACGTACATGTTCAACATGTTCCTTCATCGTGTTTGAATATATGAGGATGTCGTCGATGTAAATGATGACCCAGCGATCCAGCATATCCCGAAAGACATCGTTCATAAAAGATTGGAACACGGATGGACAGTTTGACAGGCCGAAGGGCATTACCGTGTACTCATAGTGCCCCCTAGTGGTGGAAAACGCGGTCTTCCACTCGTCACCAGCACGGATTCTGACAAGGTTATATGCACTGCGAAGATCAAGCTTGGTATAATATCTAGCCTTTCTTAATTGTTCCAGGGCAGGAGGTACGAGGGGTAATGGATAGCGGAATTTTACGGTGATTTCATTGAGCCCTCGGTAATCAATACAGGGACGTAAACTGCCATCTTTCTTCTTTACAAAGAAGAATCCAGCTGAAGCAGGAGATGTAGAAGGTCGGATGAAACCCTTGGCCAATTCCTCGTCGATATATTTAGACATTGCCTTGTGCTCAGGTTGTGACAGAGGGAATATTCGACCCGTTGGAGGACTTGAACCTGGAATTAACTCAATAGCACAATCACTTGGTCGATGTGGGGGAAGTTGAGTAGCTTTTTGTTTGCTAAAAGCTTCATGTAAGTCATGGTACTCAATGGGGATTAGTTCATCAACGAGTTCAGGTAACACATTGGTGGTTCGTAATGGAATTTTGTGAATGGGCTGGATGCACTGTTTCATGCATGACTCACTCCACTGCAATATCTGTCCGTCCCTCCAGGAGATATGAGGATCATGTCGCCTTAACCAGGGCAGTCCCAACACCAGTGGATGATTAACTGAATCAATAATGTAGAATTGCATTTCTTCAATGTGTAGAACACCAACTTGTAACTGTAGCTTATTCGTAATCATACGGATGCGTCCTTCACCCACAGGACGACCGTCTAGTGTTTCCACTGCAAGACATGAATCATACGAGCTGAGAGATAGTTCGTGACATAAAGCAAATTTCTTAGATATAAAGTTTCCGGCAGATCCAGAGTCGACAAGAGCCGTAGTATTAATCATTCTTTTATCAAATTTAATAATCACAGGAATCAGTACACTGAAAAGTGCAGGAACATGGGAAGGACTCACCGATTGAACTGGTGTCTGAGGTCGTACGCTGCAGGTGGATTTCCTGTGCCCTGATTGACTGCAGTACAGGCATAGATGATTTTGCAATCGATGCATTCTTTCTTCATGGGTGAGACGGGTGAAACCCAGTTGCATGGGTTCATCAGGGGGCGTGTCACTTGAAACATGGAGCTGTGTGCGAGGATTTCTACGGCTGCGAATCAGATGATCAAGACGGATGGTAAGTTCAATGAGTTCGTTCAATTTCTTTCCTTCGTCACGGCAAGCCAATTCAGATTGTAGATTGGTATTCAGACCCCGTCTGAATAGTGTCTTCAGTGTATCCTCAACCCAGTTAGTTTGAGCGGCGAGAGTGCGAAATGACAGGGCGTATTCTGCAGCTGTGTTACGCCCCTGTGTAAGAGAAAGTAACTGCTCACCGGGGCTTCTCCCATCTGCTGGGTGCTCGAACACTTCCCGAAATTGCTTGAGAAAAGTTTCAAATGTGGGATAGTTACATTCCTCCTCCTTCCATATCGCTGTAGCCCATTCCAGCGCTTTCCCCGTTAACAGGTTGCATACAAAAGCCACCCGACTAGAATCAGTGGGATATAATGCAGGTTGTTGGTTAACAAATAGTTTGCATTGCAATAAGAAGCCTTTGCAGCGAGAAGGTGACCCATCAAACTTTTCAG